TGGAGATGCCGGGGATTGAACCTGGGACCTTCTGCATGCCAAGCAGAGGCTCTGCCACTGAGCCAGGGTCTCGGGGTCCAGGTTTTTCTCATCACCTCCTGCTTGGTCCTTTTAAATGGAGATGCCGGGGATTGAACCTGGGACCTTCTGCATGCCAAGCAGAGGCTCTGCCACTGAGCCAGGGTCTCGGGGTCCAGGTTTTTCTCATCACCTCCTGCTTGGTCCTTTTAAATGGAGATGCCGGGGATTGAACCTGGGACCTTCTGCATGCCAAGCAGAGGCTCTGCCACTGAGCCAGGGTCTCGGGGTCCAGGTTTTTCTCATCACCTCCTGCTTGGTCCTTTTAAATGGAGATGCCGGGGATTGAACCTGGGACCTTCTGCGTGCCAAGCAAGAGGCCCTTGCGCTGAGCCAGGGCCTCAGGCAGAGGTCTTTCCCATCACCTCCTGCCTGGTCCTTTTCACTGGAGATGCCAGGGATTGAACCTGGGACCTTCTGCATGCCAAGCAGAGGCTCTCCCACTGAGCCAGGGTCTCAGGCGGAGGTCTTTCTCATCACCTACTGCCCGGTTCTTTTTAACTGGAAATGCTGGGGTTTGAACCTGGGACCTTCTGCATGCCAAGCAAGAGGCCCTTCCACTGAGCCAGGGTCTCAGGTCAAGGTCTTTCCCGTCACCTCCTGCCTGGTCCTTTTAACTGGAGGTGCTGGGGATTGAATCTGGGACCTTCTGCATGCCAAGCAGTGGCTCTACCTCTGTGCCACAGACAGCAGATATCTTCCACCTCAGTTCCCAGAACGCTTTGGGCTGGCCCTGAACCCAGGCCAGCGGTCTGTCGGACTCACTCGCTGGTGTGTTTGCTGTAGACAGACCGATAGATGTGTGGGGTTGCGGGGTGGAAAGTCCAGTCAAGTCATAGCCAACTTACGGCGATCCCGTGGGATTTCCAAGGCAAGAGACATTCCGGGTTGGTTTGGCATTGCCTGCCCCTGTGCTGCCCCCCTGGTATTCCTTGGAAGTTTCCCTTCCAAACACTAGCCAGGGCTGACCGTGCTTAGCTTCCCAGATCTAAGGAGATTGGACCAGCCAGGTCAGGTGTGTCTGCATGTGCGCAGGGGTTAGATCCCTCGGCCTGCAACAAAACTGGCACCCAAGACAGAGAAAAGTCATCTTTTACCTTTCAGTTCGCGGTTCAAAGGCTTGGTGGTTTCCGCCAGCCTTCCCTGACAGATCCCCATCCTGACGGCCGAGCCAGGGGGTCGCGGGCACTGCCCAGCCGGGAACCTTTGAGCTCCTCTGCAAAACCCATCTGGCCATTTGGTCAGCTGGCCTGACCCCGGCCTCCTTTCTGATGTCACAGACATTCGAGGGTGGTGGGGATTTTGGCCCAGGACAGGCCAAGCTGGGGAGGCAGAGATGGGGGTGACAGGGACTGTGAGCTCGGACCCTGACCAAGTGACGGAACGGAGAAACTAGCCACGGTGGCCGAGTGGAACCTCCACGTTCAGAGGCAGTCAACCTCTGAATCTCATTTTTGAAATATACGGTAACATTTTTATTTTGACAACAAACACATCAGACAGACAAACAAAAAAGGCATAAAATGTGGGTTACAAAGAGTTTCCAGGTATATATCCAGGGGTCATTTCCTGCGGGAGCGCACAGGAGCGGAGCTCCGGCAGTAAGGAGCCCAGAGGGCAGGCACATGCAACAAGCCCTGCCCCCTGCTCCCCTCAGTCGGGCCACGAGGAGCAAGAAGCAGCCAGGTAAGTTGCAGAGGCCCCCCCCCCCGGCCTGCCCTCAGGTACAAGCTCTCCCTCCTCTGTGAGGGCAGATCTGACATTACCCCTCTATATATCCATTACAATACCTCCTACCTTATAAAATGTATAAATTGTTTTTAATCACTACACATTCAATCTGTGTTTACTGCATTATATTTCAAACTAAATTCTAGAGCATCTCAAATGTAATATCATAAGACTTTACTGTTCATTTATTGTGTTCTTCCAGCCATTTATAAAATCTTGACCATGCGTTCTGAAATCTCCCTTTTTCTTGTCCTCTCAAAAATAAAGTCAGTTTATCCATCTCAGCAGTTTCAAGAGTTTTGTCTAACATTTCTTCTTTTGAGGGTATTTCGTCTTTTCTCCAATATTTTGCATATAATCTTGCAGTCGTCAATACATGTATAACATTTCATGGAACCAAGACCAATATTTTTTAACTCTATCACACATTCACCACATATGAAAGAATGAGCCTACAGTCTTTTTACATTTCCAAGTTATTAGGTAAATTAGGGTAACATTTCGCTAATTTTCTGGAGTCATATACCATCTATAAAACATTTTGTAAATATTTCCTTTATATGCAGTAGCATATCTGTGACCATTGGTCTAAATCAGTGCTGAGTGCAACTTTAAATATGTTCTCAAAGGCCCTCCTAGAAGGCTTGGGGAAGGCATTTGTCTCTTTAAATCCCTTCTCCAAGCCAAGTCGGGGGGGCGTATTGGAGGATGCATTTAAAGTTAAAGTTGCTTTCTTTCCACGTCTCCCTCCCCATCTATTTGATTTCTTTGTTTCTCTCTCTTCCCCCTCCCCCCCCCATCTATTTGTTTCCCCCCCACCTTTCTTTCTCTTTTTCTCCCTTCCTTTTCTCTTTCTCTCTTCCTTCTTTCCCCCTCCTCATCTATGTGCTTTGTTTCTCTAACTCTCTCTTTCTTTCCACCTCTCTCTCTCTCAGACAAATAAATATCATTGGCAAACAAATAAATACCATTGGACAAATAAATATCATCAATATCTGTTTTTACTCCTTTTGTTTTTTAATTTTTGGCAGCCTCGTTTAATGTTAATAAAAAGCAAACTTGCATATATATATATTTTTAAAAAACGTGTAATATTTGTTCATGTCTTGCGGCTCTCAAACATCTGACGGTTATTCTATGTGGCTCTTGCATTAAGCAAGTTTGGCCACCCACCCCTGATCTAGTCCGACCCCCTGCACGAGGCAGGGAAATGCAACCGCGTTGGCACCAATGTTCCCTCTAAGCTGTGGAGTCTTGTGAGCAAAAATCCCACTTTGTGAGCCACCGGCATTCAAGTTGTGAGTGAGCAATCTGGCTGCTGCATGAATTAGTTTGCTCTGGAGCCATCCTTCCTGAACTAATACAAAAATCTGTGAGCCAGAGGCTAAAAAACTGTGAGCTGGCTCACACTAACTCAGCTTAGAGGGGACACTGAGCTGTACAATCCGGAAATCGAGACTGTCATTCCAGGAGATCTCCAGGGCCCACCTGCATGTTGGCAACCCTAGCGTGCGCTCTCCAGCGTTAAGACCCCGCTGCGGTCCCTCCCCCTTGCTCGGCTCCGCCCCCAAATCGCCAGGAATCCCCCTCCCGGAATTGGCAACCCTATAAAGTCCGCTTCCTGGAGGGCGTGAAGGGTTTTCGGAACAAGGCAGCCTCTCGGTGCCCCTCCCCATCGGCCGAACGTCTGCCTGCTGCGCCGCAAAGGTCTTCTCGCCCACGCACGTGGGGGGAAAATCTGCCCTTGTAAGCGCGAAACCGGAATTGATATAGCGGAGTCATAAAGACTGTCTCCCCTGTCCTTGCCACAGCCGGGCTTCGACGCATGCGTATGGGAGGACCGTGCAAAGGAGAACCGGAAGTGATCGAGCAGTGTCGTGAAGACTGTAGCCCCTGAGCCGCAGCCGGGCGTCTACGCATGCGTGGTTGGGGGGGCACGTCGGAGGTGGGGCTGCCGGGGAGGAAGCGGAAGAGAGGAGCTGGCTCCGCCCATCGGAGGCAGGAAGAACCCCGGCGTCCGGGCACTTTCTGCAAAGGATTTCCCTCCCTACCCCCATCAGCCCAGGTAGACTCAGGTTGCGGGGGCCACGAGCTGTCCTTTCTCTCCTCCCCCCCCCCGGGCCGGGGCTAACCCGAGGAACGGCACTCTGCCCATGCTCAGAAAAGCCCTTGCCCCCTCGACAGCAATCCTGTGCAAGGGGGGAGCCGCTCCGTGCGTGCTGCGGGGTACTCTGAGATGCGGGAGACCTTGCAGCATGAAGAAAGTGGCAGTGCTCGCTTGGAGCCGCTACGCATGCGCCTCACCGGCTGCTGGTGTGACCCTGGGTCCGTCACAAGTTCTCCCGGAGCTGTTCTCTCAGGAGCAGTCCTCTAAAGAGCTCTCTCAGCCCCGCCGACCTCACAGGGTGTCTGTTATGGGGAGGGGGAGGGGAAGAGAGATTGTAAGCCGCTCTGAGACTCCTTTGGGTAGTGAAGGGCGGGGTATGCATCCAGTCTCTTCAGTTTGGTGTAGTGGTTAGGTGTGAGGACTCTAATCTGGGCGAACCGGGTTTTATTCCCCACTCTTCCAAGTGCAGCTGCTGGTGTGACCTTGGGTCAGTCACAAGTTCTTGGGAGAGCTCTCTTAGCCCCGCCTCCCTCACAGGGTGTCTGTGGTGGGGAGGGGAAGGGAAAGGAGACTGTAAGCCGCTCTGAGACTCCTTCAGGTAGTGAAGGGCCATGGGGGATAAATCCAATCTCTTCTCTCTTCTTCTTGTGTTGTCAGTTCTGGGCAGGGAGATCCCTGGAGATTTGGGATCAGAGTCTAGGGAGGGCTCAGCAGGGTAGGATGCCGTAGAGCCACCCTCCAAAGCAGCCGTTTTTCTCCCGGGGAACTGATCTGTGTACTCTAGAGGTCAGTTGTAGTTCCAGGAGAGGACCAGGCCCCACCTGGAGGTTGACAACCCCAAGCTGAACTGATCTCTGGTCTGGAGATCCACTGTGATTCTGGGAGATCTCTCAGTATCCTGGAGGTTGGCACCAGTGTTCCCTCTAAACTGAGTTAGTGTGAGCTAGCTCACAGTTTTTTAGCCTCTGGCTCACACATTTTTGTCTCAGCTCGGTAAGGATGGCTTTAGAGCAAACTAATTTATGCCGTAGCCAAATCACTTGCTCACAACTTTAATGCCAGTAGCTCACAGAGTAGAATTTTTGCTCACAAGACTCCACAGCTTAGAGGGAACATTGGTTGGCACCCCTCATTGGGGACCGTAGTTTAGGTATAAGTTGTGATTGTGGGAGATCTCCAGGCCCCACCTGGAGGCTGGCAACCCTTCCCTCACCTCAGCATTATTATTCTCCCACCACATCTACCCCTGGTCACTTGGGGTGTGTGGGGAGGGAGGTATTTGTGAATTTCCTGCATTGTGCAGGGGGTTGGACTAGATGACCCTGGACGTCCCTTCCAACTCTATGATTCTATAATTACTCCCAATGCTCATTTCTCCATGCAGCACTGATCCTTCTGCCCTCTGCCAGTTTGGTGTCGTGGTTAAGTGCGCAGACTCTGATCTGGGAGAACCAGGTTTGAGTCCCCACTCCTCCACTTGCAGCTGCTGGATGACCTTGGGCAAGCCGTAGTTCTGACAAGAGCTGTCCTTGAAAAAGAGCAGTTTGTGTCAGAGCTCTCTCAGCCCCACCTTCCCCACAGGGTATCTGTTGTGGGGAGGGGAAGGGGAAGGAGTTTGTAAGCCGCTCTGAGACTCCTTTGGGTAGTGAAGGGCAGGGTATAAATCCAATCTCTTCTTCTTCTTTTACCTCACAGGGTGTCTGTTGTGGGGAGGGGAAGGGAAAGGAGTTTGTCAGCCGCTCTGAGACTCTTTTGGGTAGTGAAGGGCAGGGTATAAATCCAATCTCTTCTTCTTCCTCCTTCTCAGGTTGGTGCCTGGGCAGAGACCCAGCTAGACAGACGCCTGTACTGCCGGTCCAGGAATGACGTCCCTGGTGAGTTCTCATCCTGCTGGTGCTGAGGCGCAGAGCTCTTGGCCGCTTGACATGGCGGCTGCTGCGTGCACAGAAAGACTGTTGTCGGCTTCGTGAGGAGTCACGTTAGATAAAAGGAATATCTGTGTCTTCTGTGGAATGGGTCACCTAGTATTATGATGCTCCCAGATAGTTCTGTGGTACAGCCTCATTTGGAATCCTGCGTACCGTTCTGGTCACCGTATCTCGAAAAGGGCACCGTAGAGCTGGAGAAAGTACAGAGGAGGGCGACCCTGAAAAGTTGGGGACTTTTCTGTTTAGAAAAGAGATGTTATGGATGTATGGGCCAAAAACTTAGGATATGATTTGGAACGGGACAAATGGAACAAGATTTGGGAAATTAATATTAAAATTACCAAATCTACGATTTTTAAAGAAAATATCTATAAGGTAGTCAACAGATGGTATTTGCACCCTGCTAGGTTAGCCATATACTCAACAGCAACTTCAAATTTGTGTTGGAAATGTAAACAGAATGTGGGTACATACTTCCACATGTGGTGGACATGCAGTAAAGCTCAATCCTTCTGGCAGATGATACAAAAATTACTACAGGAGATTATTCTAACTTCCTTACCTCTGAGATCAGAACTGTTTCTCCTGAATATGATCCCAGATATATTTGGGAAAAGAGACAAAATAATTCTGTTCCATAGTGTGACCGCCGCCAAGATATTGTACGCAAGATATTGGAAATGAGATAAAATTCCAGACAGGGAAGAGTTTATGTCTACACTGCTAAATGTGGTTGAAATGAATAGATTGACAGTACTATGAAAAGGGAAAGAAGAAAATATTTTGAGAAGACAAGCTGTATACCGGTAATTGGATAAAATGTTAATTGAAAGTTTAGGGCTTCCGGTCTGGCCGTTGCGAATGGCTGTCGCAACTTCGGGAGGCTCCCGAATGAATCTATCACGTTCAGAGCCACTAAATCTCCAAATCCCAGTGCCATGATGCAACATCAGCAGAAAGTCTCACCCTCTTGGCGTAGGGCCAAGAGGGAAGGGAAAGGAGTTTGTAAGCCGCTCTGAGAATCCGAGTGAAGAGCTGGGTATAAATCCAATCTCTTCTCTCTCGGTGCCCTGTTGCTGGCTCTCCAGAGGAACTGGGTGGCCCCTGTGTGAGCTGGGATGCTGGACTAGATGGACCCTCCCTGGTCTGACCCAGCAGGGCTCTTCTGGTGTTCTGATCAGGGGAAGGCCTCGGCCTCCCTGCCCTGTTGCTGGCCCTCCAGAGGGACTGGCTGGCCCCTGTGTGAGACGGGAGGCTGGACTAGAGGGACCCTCCCTGGTCTGACCCAGCAGGGCTCTTCTGATGCTCTTATCAGGGGAAGGCCTCGGCCTCTCTGCCCTGTTGCTGGCCCTCCGGAGGAACTGACTGGCCCCTGTGTGAGACGGGATGCTGGACCAGAGGGACCCTCCCTGGTCTGATCCAGCAACGCTCTGATGATGTTATTAAAACCGACATATCGCCCTGGCTTCTGTGTGGGCTGAGAGGGGCGACTTAGCCCTCTCTCCCATGCCCTGGCATTTATCCAGTTCATCTCATTTTTTTTGTAGGGTACCAGCAGCCAGACAGTGACGGAATATGTGGTCCGCGTCCCCAAGTACGTATACTTTTCCCTTGTTTGCTGTTTTCTGTTTGAATCCCAGTTCATTGCTGATCCAGGCAGGCCCAGTTTAATATTAACCAGACAGCTGGCAATAGAATGTGGGTGGAAAATACTGCGTACCACTTCAGGGGGTCCTGGCCGGAGAGTGTTTAATCTAACCGATGCGCTAGCTGGTGCAGATTGACGCTTTCAGAGCCTATGATCATTGATGACACTAGAAGCCCACAGTCCCTCTTTACAGCCGGGTCCTTTTTAACTGGAGATGCTGCTGGGGACTGAACCTGGGACCTTCTGCATGCCAAGCAGAGGCTCTGCCACTGAGCCACAGCCCCTCTTTGCAGCTCTCCAGGGTCTCAGGCGGAGGTCTCCTTGCAGCCACCCCTAAAATTCCAGGATGATCACATGAATCAGATCCTTGGTCCACGACAGTCAGCGTTGCTCACACTGGCAGCGGCTCTCCAGGGACTCAGGAGAGATGCAGGGGATTGAACCTGGGACCTTCTGCATGCCAAGCAGAGGCTCTGCCACTGACCCACAGTCCCTCTTTACAGCTCTCCAGGGACTCAGGCGGAGGTCTTTCCCATCACCTCCTGTCTGGTCCTTTTTAACTGGAGATGCAGGGGATTGAACCTGGGACCTTCTGCATGCCAAGCAGAGGCTCTGCCACTGACCCACAGTCCCTCTTTACAGCTCTCCAGGGTCTCAGGCGGAGGTCTTTCCCATCACCTCCTGCCTGGTCCTTCTAACTGGAGATGCCGGGGATTGAACCTGGGACCTTCTGCATGCCAAGCAGAGGCTCTGCCACTGACCCACAGTCCCTCTTTACAGCTCTCCAGGGTCTCAGGCGGAGGTCTTTCCCATCACCTCCTGCCTGGTCCTTCTAACTGGAGATGCCGGGGATTGAACCTGGGACCTTCTGCATGCCAAGCAGAGGCTCTGCCACTGAGCCATAGCCCCTCTGCTGGTGTAGAGTTTTTATTTATTTATTTATTTAGTTAGTTAGTTAGTTATCTTGTATCCCGCTGTACCCCACAAATGGGCTCAGGGTGGCTCACAACGTAATGAAAACAATTAAACCAAGATGTAAAAACAGTTTTCCCGTTTTGCTCCTGCCTGCAGCTCCTGGGCTGTGGTTTATCCCCTTCCCGCTTCCTCTCCCCGCAGGAACACCTCCAAGAAGTACAATATCATGGCCTTCAACGCCGCCGACAAAGTCAGCTTCGCCACATGGCACCAGGTAGGTCCTCTGTGGGAGCGGCTGCCAGTCCTGCGTGCTGAAGAGCCCCTTCGCCTCGCAGGGACGTTGTCTCTGCCCTGGCGTGCTCTGCCGGCTGTTGGCTCGTGCTCACCCTCTCCAGGGGGGCTACATCCTCGCCTGCCCCTTCGCGGATTGCCACAACCAACCTGTGCGGCTCGCGCCGTAAACCGCAGGAGAATCTGTAGCAGCGGGTCAGCTCGCCAGAGCCCTCTTGGAGCTGCCCGTGTGCCTTCACGCCTGCTGCCTTGCCAGCCTGCTCCGTATCTGTCTGTGGGTGGAGCCAGGCCTGCATTTTCCGCTCGCTGACCAGGCACATCACATTCAAGGCAAGCGGGGAGGGGCCAGCGATGAGGCAGCTGCCGAACTAGCAGGGGGGAATCAAAAAGAAACTATGAGGGGCCCCCAGGGCGAGAACTGGTCATGTTCCAAAGCGTGGCTTGCTCCAATACAGGACCACAGCCAAGCCCTGGGTGCCACAACCAGTGTTCCCTCTAAGCTGAGCTAGTGTGAGCCAGCTCACGTTTTTTTAGCCTCCGGCTCACACATTTTTATCTTCGCTCAGGAAGGAGGGCTCCAGGGCAAACTGAGGTATGCAGCGGCCAAAATCGCTCGCTCTTGGTGCCAGCCAAGATGAAAACCGTCGCTGTCCTCAACCAGAAGCTTGGCGGAACATCTCAGCCTCGCAGGCCCTGCGGAATTTCATAAGGTCCCACAAGGCCCTGATGGTACTCAGCAGAGAGTACCACCAGGCTGGGGCCAGGACCGAAAAGGCCCTGCCCCTGGCTGAGGACAGCTGGATGTCTTTGAGGCCGGGGACCACCAGTACGTTACTATCTGAAGAGCGTAACGTTTCCAGGGACATAAAGGAGGAGACTGTACCATAGACTAGGGGTGTCAAACATGCGGCCCGGGGGCCAGATCAGACCCCCGGATAGAGATGTAAAATTTCCGGAAATTTTGAAGCTGTGAAGGGGGGGGGGGACGGAAATTTTCGGGGAAATGGAAAAAAATGCTACATTAGCCCTTCTTTTTTCTTTTCCAGGTTGAAAGTCATTCTGTTACTTTAGGGACATAAAATATGACTATGGACAATTTTACTTGGCATGAAATTATCACAACTAGCATTTAAAAAATATAAGAAGAAGAGAAGAGATTGGATTTATACCCCGTCCTTCACTACCCACAGGTGTCTCAGAGTGGCTTACAAACTCCTTTCCCTTCCCCTCCCCACAACAGACACCCTGTGAGGTAGGCGGGGCTGAGAGAGCTCTGACAGAACTGCTCTTTTTTCAAGAACAGCTCTTATCAGAACTACCGCTTTCCCAAGGTCATCCAGCC